AAATCTGAGCTCCTGCCCTCAGAGACCTCTGGATTTCTGAATCCTTCACACAAAGTTGGAAGCCAAGTCAGATCTCAGCTAGGCTGAGCACCTCAGGCCACCCAGCCCCTCAGACACTTGGGGTCTCCCCATTTCTCCCTAGTCCAGTCCCTCCTATGACCTCTCCCAAGTTTGTCCTAGTGTGAGGCCCAAAATTTACCCCAAGTCTCCTGGCTCCGTCTAGGTAGCCCTCCCTCAGCCCTAAAATTAGGGCTGACCCCAAGCGGCCCAAGTGTACAGGTAGCGAGGAGCGGTGGGTGGAGGGGAGTGGGCCCGCCTGGGTCTACTTACCTCAGCGCCAAAAAGAACTATTAAACAAGCTCGAGATGGGGACCTCCTTACCCCAACTGGAGCTTCCGGCTCTTGCAAAACTGGGAAACAAGGTGGTCACCATGACAACTGGTGACGCGTCGCCGGGGCAAAGGGGGCGGGTTCCCCCCACCAAGTTGCATCGCCGGGAGACACTGCGCAAGCGCGAATTCTACCGTCCCGGGGCCGGAGACTTAGGGATGCAGCGGACCTCGAGAGCCGTGGGGGCAGACCCTGGGCCCTCGCAATCCACCACTCAGAGTGTCCAGCATCGAGTTCTGGGTCACCTCGGGCCGCTGTGTCCCTGCGGAGTCTCGGATTCCCCCGGTGTACAGTGGGATCGGGCTGGGTGTTACCGCCGGGCCCTGGAGAGCGCAGGCGCAGGCGGGTGCAGGACCACCCAGCCACAGAGTCAGCCCTGCAGGTGGAGGGGGCAAGAGAGATTCCTGGGGTTATCACGGGGTAGGAAGAAGAAGCTTCAGACATTCAACTTTAGAAAGGAAGCTTCAGGACCCCGGGGGGATCCTAGCACAGCGCAGCTGCAGGTGTGGGATTATACACAATGCATAGCTAACACCAGTACGTGGGTAGGAATGGATTCCAAGCAGATATGCAGCACAAGGCTTAGAATTTACTAAATGAATGAGCATACAGCTAAAGCTGTTCCTCAAAGTAAAAAAAAAAAAAAAAAAAAATGCAAGGTGTATTTCAATTTTATGTGATCTTGAGATTTTTGTGGATTGGAAAAGTTAAGCTTCCAGATGGGCAGCATTTTATACCAATTTTTTTTTTCCTTTAGGCAAATGCTCTATCACGGAGCTAGACTCCCAGTCCGACACCAACTTTGATTTGTATCCTGTCAATGCAAAACCTGTAAAATTATTTTGATGTTATTCTTCAAGGCACTCATTTTATATGTAGCATATTTATTTTAAAAGGAGACTGCATCACTACCGGAAATGGAAAATTAATATCACCTGTGTGATAGAAATAGAAATAAAATAAAACACATAAATAAATACAAATAAAACAAAACAACATAAAATCGAATGTTGTTTTAAAACAATGAAACATAAGTAATGACAAACCTAACCTATTATTTAAAAATTTACATCTGAAACCAAGTTCCTCAGTAAGGAGAATGAACTTGTTTATAATAAGTAGATGTTTGGCAAAGATCACTTGATTTTTAGATTTGGTGTTTATCAGTACTAGGATCTCAACTCACTAGTAAACCTATTTAGAAAGATCAAAATGATTTTTTTTAATCCAGTGGGGAGCTGATAAGTTTAATCCTCCTGTGGGTTCAGGAAGCATAGAAGAACCAGAGAAGGTGAACCCCAAATCTGACTTCACCTCTCAATACTTTCACCCTGGAAGTGGGAGTTAAAATCAGGAAACCAACTTAGTCATTTATTTAAGCGACAATGAGTTTCCTCCAGAGTCTGTATAGGTTTCCATGACTGGTTTTCTTCTGTGTGGGAGGCCTGAATGGGTCACTCTATCTGTACCCCAAAAATCCCTCTCTATCTACTGGGAGGTAGGAAGTATGGGAGAAAAATTAAGCCAGAGAAGACCACTGCAGGAGATTTAATACTTCTAAAGTAGTGAGATGGGACAAAGGACAGATAATTGGTTATCAAAGAAGGGAAATGGGTATTTAACATTTCCCCATCAACCGGTTGCTAATACCTTCTGGGGAGGAGAAGGATCACACTTTCCAACACAAGGGATCACCACCACCCCCCCCCCACCTCATCCCCCAGGCTTTTATCAGGGTTTTGTTGTTGTTGTTTTTTCTTTTCTGCCTTTTGGTCAAGTAGGCACATAGGAGGAGGAGGGGACAGGAGAAGAAAGGAAAAGTTAAATCTATAAAGGGGCAGGACACCTTTACTCCCACACGCACCAGCTCTGGGTCCCAGGATTCTCTCTCTCTCCTAGCCCTTAAATAAAATTTACTTTCTACTCTTGCCTCGGCCTTTCTCTGGTATTTAAGCTTCAACACCAGGGAAGGGGTGGGGCGAGGACCTGATCTCTCAAGACCAGTATCAGTAGGACTTCCAGAAGGAAAGGGGAAAAATGGTAAAACAACAATGAATGGCGCTAGTCAGCTTTCCTCGCTGTGAGCAAAATACCTGATAAGAACAACTTAGAGGACGAAAAGTCTATTTTGGCCCATAGTTTCTGAGATCTCAGTGCATGGCCAGCCAGCTCCATTGCTCTGGGTCCGAGGTGAGGCAGAAAATCATGGTGGAAGGGCACTGTGCAGAAAAGATACTCAGCTCTCACAGCAACCTGGAAGCAGAGAGGGTCGGAGGAGCCAGGGACAAAATGTGATCCCATGGGCATGCCTCCAGGGGTATACTTCCTCCACTCACACCCACCTGTCTTCATTAACACCCAGTAATGCATTCAAATTATTAATCCATCAAGTGGATTAATCCACTAATGAGGTTAGAGTTTCATAATTTAATCATTTCACTTCTGAGCATTCCTGTGTTAGCTAACACATAAGTTTTTTGAGGGATACTTCATTACCAATGGCAACAAAATAGCCAAACGATGATGGGAAAGAGGGGAATGTAGACTTTGAGCTGGAGACTCAAGCTTTTGGGCTGAAAGACCCATGAAATTCATATTCTCTCTCTCTCTCTCTCTCTCTCTCTCTCTCTCTCTCTCTCTCTCTCTCTCTCTCTCTCTCTCTCTCTCACACACACACACACACACACACACACACAAATACAGACACACACGCCTATTCTGGTGGAAATTCAAGATTAAGGAGAAAAAGAATTAAGCAATATCAAACTTTCGTCTCTAACAGAGGGTGTAAGAAATGATGCTAGAATCATGTCTTCAAAATTCGAGAGTGGAAATTATTCCAAATCTGGAATTGTATAAAACCAAGTCAAAACAACTCCTATATAAGAGCAAAACACCTAATAAGAGCAACTTAGAGGAGGAAAAGTCTATTTTGGCCCATATAGCAAAATAAAGTTGTTTGTAGGCATGCTGGCTCTAAAAAAAAGTCGAGCATACTCTCTTTGAAAACAATAAATCAAAAAGTAAAAAAAAAAAAAAAAAAAATCCAGAAAGAGGAAGGCACTGGCTACAAGAAACAGTAGAACCAACGCAGACGTATGGTGAAAAGAAACCTCTGATAATAGCTGCATAACTGGCTGGGGTAGTGATCTGTTACTGTGTATGTATTTACCACACTATGATTTTATCATTATTTTAGAATTTATCTCTAATAATAAAAAAAATAAAAGTCTGCTGTAAAACTAGGCCTTGTTTTGCTGGCAGCAGCCTCTTACATCCAAGTGCCTGTCTGCACCATCTTCTCTGGTGCTTGGTTCAGTCTTGTTGTTTTGTTTATAGTCTCCACAGGGCCGAGACTACGCCGTGTATGTGTGTGTGAGTGTGTGTGTGTGTACCACATAGCCCAGGT